TGGACAGAAAATCAAACTGCCACAACAAAGCCTAATTCAGAGCAAGGCTCTAACTCTCTTCAATTCTATGAAGGCTGAGAGAGGTGAGGAAGATGCAGAAAAAAAGTCTGAAGTTAGCAGAGGTTGGTTCATAAGGTTTAAGAAAAGAAGCTGTCTCCATAACATAAAAGTGCAAGGTGAAGTAGGAAGACCTGATGTAAAAGCTGTACCAAGTTATCCAGAAGATCTAGCTAAGATAATTTATGAAGGTAGCTACATTAAACAACATATTTGCAATGTAGACAAAACAGCTTTATATCAGAAGATGCCATCTAGGACTTTCATAGCTAGGGAAAAGTCAATGCCTGGCTTCAAAGGACAGGCTGACTCTCATGCTAAAGGGTCTAACCCAGCTGGTGATTTTAACGTGAAACCAGGGCTTATTGACCATTCTGAAAATCCTATGGCCCTTAAGAATTATGTTAAATCTAGTCTGTGCTCTATAAATAGAACAAAGCCTAGATGATAGCACATCTGTTTGCAACACAGTTTACTGCATGTTTGAAGCTGACAGTGAGACCTACTTCTCAGAGAAAAAGATTTCTTTCAAAATATTACTGCTCATTGACAGTGCACCAGGTAATCCAAGAGCTCCAATGGAGATGTACAGAGATACCTGTTGTTTCCATGCCTGCTAACACAACATCCATTCTGTTCTGCAGCCAATGGATCAAAGAGTAATTCCGACTTTCAAGTCTTATGATTTAACAAACACATTTCATAAAGCTATAGATGCTAATTAACAGTGATTCTTCTAATGGACTAGGAAAATTCAACTGAAAACCTTCTGGAAAAGATTCACCATTCTAGATGCCATTCAGAAACATTCATGATTCATGGGAATAGGTCAAAATACCAACATTAACAGGATGTGGAAGAAGTTAATTCCAACCCTCACAGTTACTTTGAGGGGTTTAAGACCTCAATAGAGGAAGCAATCATTTTTTTCACAGAACTAGAAGTATGCATCTTCTGGATATTTACCCAAGGAAAACTAAAACACTAACTCAAAAAGATATATATGCCCCTATATTTACTGAAGCATTAGCCAAGATATGGAAGCAACCTAAGTGTCCATCAATAGATGAATGGATAAAGATGTGGTATATACATAATGGGGCACTATCATCCATAAAAAAAGATTAAATCTTGCCATGTGACAACATGGATAGACCTATGCTAAGTGAGTAAGAGAAAGACAAATACTATATGATTTCCCTTACATGTGGAATTTAAAAAACAAACAAAAACCCAGAAATAGACTCATAAATACAGAGAACAAAATGGTAGTCGCAACAGGGGACTGGAGTGGGAGTGATGAGCAAAATACGTGAAGGGGATAAAGAGGTACAAACTTCCAATTATAAAATAAATAAGTCATAAGTCACAGTGTACAGCATGGAGAATATAGTTGGTAATATGTAATAACTGTATGGTAACTGCACTTACTGTGTATTTTGTATTGGCATTTGTAAGGTATATAAATGTTAAATCACTATGTTGCACACTTGAAACTAATATAGTATTGTGCTAACTATATTTCAATAAAAATATTTTAAAATTAAACAAATAAAAAAGACTTCAGTGGAGGAAGTAATTGCAGATGTGGTGGAAACAGCAAGAGAGTCAGAATTAGAAGTGAAGCCTGAATATTGGCTGAACTGCTGCAATCTCATGACAAAGTTTTTACAGATAAGGAGTTGCTTCTTACAGGTGAGCAAAAAGGTGGTTTCTGGAGATGGAATCTACTCCTGGTGAAGATACTGTGAAGACTGCTGAAATTAACAAGGGATTTAGAATATTGTTACCTTAGTTGATAGAGCAATGGCAGAGTTTGAGAGGGCTGATTCAAATTTTGAAAGACGTTCTACTGTGGGTAAAGTGCTATCAAACGGCTTGGCATGCTACAGAGATACCATTAATGAAAGGAAGAGTCAACTGCTGCAGCAAACTTCACTGGTTTCTTATTTTAAGAAACTGCCACAACCACCCAAACCTTCAGCAATCACCACCCTAATAAGTCAGCAGCCGCCAACATTAAGACAAAAGATTAAAACTCACTGAAAGCCCAGATGATAGTTAACAATTTTTAGCAATAAAGTATTTTTAATTAAGTTATATAAATTGTTTTAAACATAATGCTACTGCACACTTAGTAGGCTATATATAGTGTAAATATAACTTCTATATGACTGGAAAACCAAAAAATTCATTTGAGTCATTTTATTGCAATATTCACTTTATTGCAATGGTTTAGAACCAAACTCGCAATATCTCCAAGGTATGCCTGTATATGTATAGCTATAACATAACATGTATAGGACCCATATGCTGAAAACTACAAAATGCCAATAAAAGAATAAAGGAAGATCTATATAAATGGAGAGAGATACCACATTCATGTACAGGAAGATGTAACATACAGTAATGATATTAATTTAATTTGATCTATAGATTTCACACAATTCTAATCAAAATTCTAATAAGATTTTCTTAGATATAGAAAAAGTGATGCTAATATTGATATGGAAAAATAAAGGCATTAAAATAACTAAAACAATTTTGAAAAAGAATAAAGCTGGAGGAATCACACTACCCAAATCTAACACTTAGTATAAAGCTACAGTAATCACTGATATATTGGTAAATGGACAGACAGACCAAGGAAACAGAAATAATCCAGAAATAGAAGCACTCAAATATGTGTAACTGATTTTTTATAAATGTGCAAAACCAAGTTAATGGAAAAAAGGAGAGTTTTTAACAAAGGGTAATATGCTACATCGATCCAAAGTATTTAAATATTAAATATCTCTCAAAATCATCCACTTTTCTCATTACCACAACCACCTCCCAACCTAAGTTATGCTCATTTGTTCTCTGGCTACTGTGATTGGCCGTTTACTCTAAACTGTTCTATCTTAATACACTGTTCTCCATACTACAAGCCAGTGGGCTTTTCAAAATGCAAATCTGCAAAGTCATTTCCTGCTGAAATCCTTTAGCGATTCCATTCCTCTTAAAACAAATACAAAATTATCTTGATACCATTTAAAAGGCCATGAATTGCCAAGATCCTACTACCTAATTCTCTAGCCTCATTTTTCACCACTCTCTTCCTTTCACTGCATGTTGTACTCAACCATACTCCTGTCCATCAAAAGACCTTTGCACATAATATTTCCTCTACCTGGATTTCAGTTCAATCCCCAGTTTTTCAAAAAAATCTCTCCTTGCCTCTAACTAGTTCAAATCCCTTTATTATAGACCTCATAGCACTGTGAACTAATCCTTTATAGCACTGTGAACTAATCCTTTATTGCCCTTGCCACCACTGGAATATTACCTTTGACTGCTTGTATTTAAGTATGATTATTTCATGACTGCACCTCCATGAAAGAAGGATATGTATCCATTTGCTTCCCACTGTATCCCCAGAGTTTAGTATAATAGGAACTTAACAAATATTTATTAAATGAGTAAATGTATTATCTTTTTTGTCCCTTATAACTACTCTATGAGATATGTATAATTTATTTTCCCCATTTCACACATGGAAAAATTGAGGCTTTGGGAGCTTAGGTAAATTTCTCTAGGTCATACAGCTAGGAAGTAAAGAGCTGGATACCAACTGAAGCATTATGATCCTAAGGACCAAGATATTAATTATGTTCTATTGCTGTTCAAATACAACAAACCCTAAACCAATCCTTGTTCATGTAGGTGTGAATCTTTATAGTAAAAACAATACTTTAGTATTCATTCATTCAGGAAATATTTATAAAATGCTTACAAAGTGTCAGTCAGTATGCTACATACCGGTGTTACAGGACATAGGTTCTTAACCCTTTTGGAGTGCACATTCATTCCACTATTTATTTATTGAGCACCTACTATGTGCCATTTACTATGCTAGGTAAAAGGGAGTCTAAAGCGTGAATAAAGCTTTAAATAATTATACCAAAAATAATTTCACTTGTGATAAGTTCAGGGTTCTCTGGGAACAAGCTATACAGAGACCTAAACTAACTTAAACTATCAGGAGATATTTCCTAAAGAATTTATATTTAAGCTGAGACTTGATATATATGTATACATTATCAAATCTGAAATCAATACAAGCATTATTATTATTTACAAGAATCTGTACAAAAAGCAATTCAGTGGAGAAAGGATAAGCATTTGGAAATAACATTTCCCAAGAGATGGAAGAATTAGGAGTTGCAAAATCACATAGACATGTAATAGTTTAAACCCAAAATCAAGTATCTGTAGTCATAAACAATATTGTCTTTTATAGCAAGTATTGATAAACTATAGCCTCTAAGAATGAGCCTATAGTCTCCTTTTGTAGGCCCTTGGTGTAAGAATGGTTTTTACATTTTTACAAAGTTGTTAAAAATAAAAGAACCCAAAATGAGGAACACAAGGAGGGGAGGGGAGGGTCATGGAAGGGAGAGGATGAGGGGAAAATTAACATTCTGTATATAGCCACAAAGCCTAAAATATTTACTATCTAGTCCTTTACAAAAAAGTTTGTCAACCAATAGTCTATACATTGTAATCAATTAAAACATAATGAAGCTTTATCTTAACAAATTCATTAAACATGAATCTACCTGAACACAAAACACAGGTACTGAATATATATCATACAAATCTTTCTTGAAATTGTAGCTTTGTGGCTCAAAGGTATCAAAGGTACATGCATATATGATCTTACTTAAATGTACTGTCAATACATGTTCAAATAATATGAACATCTTCACCAAGATAGTTATCAAGATATATAAAAATTGGTACAGATAAAAATGTGACTTTACTAAAAACCCAAATCTTTTTTATATTTTAACTTAAAAAACTAGCATAAAACATCTGCATTGTAAGAATCTATGTCAGTGGATTCAGTATTATTTTGTAAAGTAATTGCTATATGTTAGTAAGAGAAACTTTATACTTACCAAGATTTTTTTCAGTTCTTCAAGTTCTACTTCTTTGTTATTTTTAAGCTTAGTCGTTTCTTCTAAAATAAGCAAAAGAATATAAATGTGTTAAAAGATGGAAAAAAGAATAGGAGAGATAAGAAATAATAATGCCACCATTAAAAAAAAACCATAAAGCATAGAGAAAGTCAAAATGGAACTATGCTAATAAGTATTGAGGTTACAGGACAAACAGGACATAGGTTCTTAGCCCTTATAGGAACATATATTCATTCCACTATTGGAATAGATAATAATTGGTAAATATTGATAGTAATGTTTCTATAAAGTTAATTCCATAACCAAATGAGCCCAAAGTTCATCAAACAAAATAAGCAATGGATATATAAAAATACATATTTGAAATGAGGTCATTCAGCATGTGCCTTTACATTCAATTCATCACTATCTAAACATGTGGCCTCTTAATCTTCACTCCAAACTTAAAAGGAGAAGTGATCTACTTTTCTCAAACTAATTCTGATCATTGTATTCTGGATCTCAACATTCTCACCTTCTCTGAGATTTTAGTTTCTATATTATCAAAATACACTGAGATTTTAGTTTCTATATTATCAAAATACAATGACCCCCTGTAAAGGAATCTTAAATTTCCTCCATCCCATCTAAACTTCTATTTGAGTATAAAATTGACCTTTCTGCCCTTTCATACTGTCAAATTTCTTACTTTAGTTTACAAATTCCTGTTATCCTGTTATCTACATATTTATTAACCCCATGCAAAACTAATGCCTATCTCCATGACATTAATAAAATTATAATCTCAAAGATCACCAATAACCATTATATAGCACAACTCTTAATCATTATCATTGTGGAGATTTCCAGAATTTGATACTATTAACCACCCTCTATTTTTCTCCCTTTGATTTTCAAGACTGCACCATTTGGTTTCCTGCTTCCTCTCTAACTCCTGCTCCTATTTTCTTAGCTGATACTTTTCCTTCTTGCCAGTGTAAAAAATAATACTTTACAATGCCTTTCTATACTTCCATGAATTCAACATTAGACTAATGAATTTAATCTTTCCAGTTCAAACCTCCTGCTTTTTCCTCCTTTCTTACATTTCTAAACTGCTTACAAATTTCCCAAATGACATCTAGCTGCCACCTAAAATCTTATTATATCTGAAACACTGTCTTTCCTCACTGTCTGGGTTATTAATTATTGGAGATATAATAGATTTACTGAAAATTTCCCAGTCTCTGTACATTAAAAACAAAAAATTTGTCATAATTTCCCACGGTCTTTAAGGAAAAATAAACAAAATATGAAATGCCAACATAGAGCCTGAAAGAAAAACCTATCACATGCAAGGCTTATTTAACCACAAAGTTCCGTTTTAGGTAAAAATAGTTAATTTTTGTAAACTCAAGGACTGGTTAAAGATAGTGGACTGAGCATGTCACTACTCTCTCTCATATCCCCAATCCCATAAGTTTCTTTATAGGCACAAAAAAGAAAAATATATATATTTATAGACAGACTATCATTAACAAACCAAACAGGAATGGTTTGAGACGAAAATCCACATTAACTCAATGAAAGATACGTGGAACAACCAGGTCAGGTGACCATACTTCCCACCCAACAGCCCATACCAGGTTAAATAAAAGATTCTGGGAATTGTAGCTAAAGGGACATAACAATGTCCAAACAGCTCATGATCTCTATACAAGATAAACATCATCTATATTCAAAAGACAAGCTACCGAGCCCACCCTTCCTTATAACACCTTCTATCTCTCCCCCATAATCAGAAGAATCAGATTGTAACATACAGGTGGGTGAAGGTGGATTCTCAAAAACTTAGATGAGTTAAACAATCAAGAATCAACAATTAGTAAAGAAAAGCAAAACCATGAGAAGCACCAAATTCAATTTAAAAAGAACTAAAATAAAACCCAATGTATTATGCTCAGTGAAATAAACCAGGTGGAGAAAGACAAGTACCAAACGATTTCACTTATCTGTGGAGTCTAACAACAAAGCAAAAACTGAAGGAACAAAATGCCAGAGACTCACAGAATCCAAGAATGGACTAACAGTTACCAAAGGGAAAGAGACTGGGAAGGATGGGAGTGAAAGGAGGGATAAGGGGATTAAGGGGCAATATGACTAGCACACATAAAGTGGGGGTGGGGGCCACAGGGAAAGCAGTAGAGCACAGAGAAGACAAGTAGTAGCTCTACATCATCTTACTATGCTGATGGATAGTGACTGTAATGGGCTATGTGGTGGGGACTTGATAATGGGGGGATTCTAGTAACCACAATGTTGCTCATGTGAGTATATTAATGATACCATAATAATAAAAATAAATAAATAAAACCCAAGAATAAAGAACTAATATTAATAGAGCAAACAGAAGTTGATATTTTGCTAAGTAATATATGTTCCAACAAGATACTATATTTCTGAAATAAACTTAGAGTTCCTGGAAACTTAAAAATTGACAACTTAGATTTTAGAAAAGGCAAAACAGAAACATGACTAAAGACTGAACTAAGAGAAGGGAGCCAAATAACTTTTTTCCCCAAATTCCTCAGGAAAAAAAAAACTAAAAGAGTATAAGAGAACATTTTTAAAACATAAAAGATAAATGCAGAATTGCCAAAACCTACCTATGTGAACTTACAGAGAGAGAACTGATGACAACAGAAAAGAAGTAAGAAAAGTTTTCAGAGCTAAAGACAATGTGTCCTCAGATTAACAGTCTCACCAAATGCTAGCAGAAGTATGATATGATCCATTTTTAAAAGATATTCTCTCATACCTGTACCACTCAAACAGCCTCCAATGTGATTTTTCCACTTCTACTCTTTCCTCCCTACCAGTACCCCTTACTTACCAGAAAATTTACCTGCCATACTGACGTTATAGTGATCCTTTAAAATCATAAACCAGATGGTGTCATTCTTCTAAAGTCCTTCAGTGGCTTTCCTTCCCATTAGAATAAAATCAAAATTCCTTTCCTTGGCCCTGATTTGGTCCTTATCGCCCCATACTCATTTCATTCACCTTTCTACATCACTTCTTACACACAATCACAAAGGCCTTCATTCAGTCACTTGAATTACTCCTTCACACCTCATATCATTTCTACATGCTTTTCCTTCTGACTGAAAAACTCTCTTCAACTTACATGGTTTACCTAACTAAATCTCACTTGTCTCTTAGTTCTCAGCTGAAGGCCATTCTGATCACCAAATCTAAATTAGGCCCTATTATATTCTTATATTGTATCATTTCATTTCCTTTTAGCAGTTACCCCAATTTGTAATTAAATATTTATATGTGAAGCAATAGAAAACACTAGAGGGAGAATCAGTTACACAACCAGAGTGAAACCAAGCATGGATATAGTTACTGAGAAACAACTAAAGGATTAAAACCTGTTTAGCACAATATTAGACCTAATCAAAGATGGGAGACATATGAAGAAGCAAAACAAACTGTAATAAGTAAAGAAATGGAGAAAAATTATTTGACAAAGATTTTGTATTTACAGTTGACTTTAACTTATTTTTTAGGCACTACTTTAAGTGAGCAATGGAAAAGCACCTGATACTTCAGAGTCTGAATTTACACAATAAAATGGCTCTTAAACTTGCAACACAGAATAGTCAGGTTTGTATTTTTAAAGAGATACTTTAACATCAGTGCAGAGAATGAACAAAAGGTAGACAAGGATGGAAACAAAAAGATTGATTCTCAAAGCATTACAATTGTTTCTAGCCAGAGAAATCTGTCTACAGCTAATGCCAAGATACAACAGGTACATCAGGCTGTATCTGAGCAGTGCACAGAAAAAAGTGGTCTTATAATGAGTTAATGATTGAGACTTCTGAGAGGGCAATGGATACAGATGGAGGAATACTCCAACCAAAAAATATAATCAAGGAAGAATGCAAAGTGTAGTAAGAAAACAAAGCAATAAGAATGAGGGCTATTGCAGTAAGAAAGAAGGTGATGAAACAAAGGCAAAGCAAATAGAAGCCTAGTAAATACAACAAGAGATGAACAAATATAAGACTAAAGAGGGTAATCTGAAGCATGTTTTGAAGACTAATCTACCAAATAGACAATCTGTGTTCCATTATGTTACTCACATGCATCCCTCCCTCTGCTAGGCTAAGAGAATGTGCCTGAAACTCTAAAAACCAGAAAACAGGAAATGAGGACCTGAACTGTTTAGGTCTGTGGAGATGAAGAAAAAGGAAATATTCAGATGATATTTAAGAGTTAGAAACTCTTAGATTTTATGAACTAGGTATCAAGAATTACTGGATAACAGATTAGAAGTGAAAGGTAAAAGAGAAAGAACCCTACAGGATAATTTCCAAGAGTTTTGGTTTTGAGGACTATACTATTAACCAAAGAAGGAAATAACTAATGCTAAGTAGAGTTGAGCCTTGAACAAGTGCAGTGGGTTAGAGGCACTGACCCCCACACAATAAAAAATCTGTGTATGAGTTCTGACTTTCCAAAAACTTAACTATTAATAGCCTACTGTTGACCAGAAGCCATACTGTCAACATAAACAGCCAATTAAAACATATTTATCATAAGTATTATATACTATATTCTTACAATAAAGTAAGTTAGAGAAAAGAAAATGTTTTTCAAATTGTCACAAACTGACAGGGGCAGAGAAAAAGATGGCAGAGTAGGAAGGCAAGGTGGAAACCTCCTTCCAAATACACATAAAAAGAAGAAAATACAGCAAATACAACTAAACCTGAAAACAACCTGAAGACTGCAGAACACACCACCTACACCTGGGGAAGAAGAGAAGCCCACACAGAAAAGGGGTAAAAGTGGCAGAGCCATGAGAGAGCAGGACAAAAGCCCTCCCACCAACCCAGACCACAGTCAGGAGAAAGAGAAACAGGGTGGGGAGGAACAGGAAACCAGGAATACTGCACACCTGGCCCTGGAGATTTACTCTGGGAGCACAAGTCCACATTACAGTGGTTTCTGGTGATTAGCAGGGCTGGACACCAGGGATAGCTCAAAC